TGCCCCTTCTTCAAGCCTTGAGGTCTCTTGTGAACTGAACGATGTCTGGACCCTCTACTGCCTGCCTAGTGTCTACTGGACCCTCTACTGCCTGCCTAGTGTCTACTGGGCCCTCTACTGCCTGCCTAGTGTCTACTGGGCCCTCTAGGGCCAAACCTCTTCTCTGTCTTGTCGCTGAGTCGCGCTTTTTCTCTTGCCAACTCTGCACATTTCTCTGTCCTCATCGGCTTTCCCCTCCGCACTCCATATCTGTCCTCATCAGCCTTTTCTCCATCAGATTTTCCTCTCTATCACTTAGTCCCTTCTTTTCCCTCCAGCTAGATGTCCACTATTACGCAATGCCGGCTCTTCACCATTTTCTAAATTCGTTGACCGCTTTTATTCGAATTTGACTCTCCTGAGAATCTTTAAATCTTTAGATTCTTTAAATTTAACGCATTCACGATGAGAGTTTGACAAGAGTGACAAGAGTTTTTCACAAAACTGCCTCTTCTGAGTGAACCAGAAAAGCTAAGAGGCTAAAAAAATATACCGTAAATACTGTAATAGTACTCCACCCCTCTCGTACAGTTGCGTAGTCGCTAGTCGCAAAGTTAGCATTTTTCGCTAGTCGCTAGTTTTTAGCATTTTTCAAAGCGCCCGTACTTTCAAAAAATGCGTCTTTGGTATCAAAAAATAGCCCTGAATTTCAGCTATTTTTTGATGCCTAAGCGCGCATTGTAGCATAAACCAGTGTCAAGAAAAACTCGTTCAAAGCTAGACTACGCAACACTCCCCACCGTCATTATGGGGGTGGGGTCCAATTACAGTATTTACGGTAGCTATATTTAGTTCCTTTAAAGCTCCTTTATCGTTCCTTTATGATTCCTATTTAGTTCCTTTAAAGCTCCTTTAAAGCTCCTTTATGATTCCTATTTAGTTCCTTTAAAGCTCCTTTATCGTTCCTTTATCGTTCCTTTATCGTTCCTTTATCGTTCCTTTATAGTTCCTATTTAGTTCCTTTATCGTTCCTTTATCGTTCCTTTATCGTTCCTTTATAGTTCCTATTTAGTTCCTTTAAAGCTCCTTTAAAGCTCCTTTAAAGCTCCTTTAAAGCTTTAATAAATAATCGAGAATCCGAATCTGATACTAGTTTTCTAATACTAGTTTTATGTATGTTTTTTTGGTGTAATCTAATATTCTAAAAGAATTCTTCAAAATATTCTAAAAGAATTCGTCAAAAATAAGCTATAAACCAGTCTAAATTGATCGGTTTTACAAGATTTTTGTTCTATTTGATAGAAACATAAAAACTATAAGTAGTATTCTTTGAAAGTTTTTATAAGTAGTATTCTTTGAAAGTTTTCAAAAGTAATGTTGTTTCCGAGAAGATAGAAGGCTTTGTCGTTCGTTTTGCGCTAATTGAATCTGGGATCTTTGCGCTGGGTAATTGAATCGGCTTCTCAAGAAAATCGGCTGTCACAATCGGTTGTCACAATCGGCTGTCACACTGACAATCGGCATTCGGACGTGTCCGATTGTCAGTGGGAGCACAAAGTCCCAAAGTATCCAATCCTTTTGATCAAAATCCTTTAGATCAATCCTTTAGATCTCAGCGTGCAATGAATATTGCTAAAATTTGATTTCAGATTCGGATTCCCGATCCGCAAAAAGCCTTAGATGCAAATTTTTAGCCCTATCTGTTTAGTGATTAGTCTAAAACATTGTTTTAAGACTGTGTTTAGGTTTAAAAAAACTAAAAAAAGCTAAAACCTACTCAAAATCGAATTTTGGGAGTAAATCTAGCAAAATAGGTTAGAAATAGGTTAGAAATAGATTAGAAATAGATTAGAAATATACTAAAAAATAGGCTCAAGCTCAAGCTCAATCTCAATCTCAAGCTCAAGCTCAAGCTCAATCTCAAGCTCAATCTCAAGCTCAAGCTCAATCTCAAGCTCAATCTCAAGCTCAAGCGTGCTTTTGCTCAGCTCAAGCGTGCTTTTGCTTGAGCACAAAGTACCATTCTTTCCTACCAGCCAGTTGCTTGAATGATCTGTGAAAAATAAACACTAAAGTTCGACAAAACAGAAACTATCGACAAAACTTCTTGCATCATGATCGTCTAATCTTTTTCTTCAAAATTCTTGAGAATCCGCTTTCAAATCAAGTGAGAATCGGCTTTCAATTCAATTCAATATGCTTTTCATCCCTTCAATATATCTATTTGATTAGTCTCTTTATTGTCTTTTATTCTTTTCTTTATTCTTTTTCCTTCATTCTTTTTCTTCTATCTCTTTCTTTCTATTCTTTCCTTCTATTCTTTCCTTCATTCTCTCCCTTCTATTCTTATTCTTTCCTTCATTCTCTCCTTCATTCTCTCCTTCATTCTCTCCTTCATTCTCTCCTTCATTCTCTCCTTCATTCTCTCCTTCATTCTCTCCTTCATTCTCTCCTTCATTCTCTCCTTCATTCTCTCCTTCATTCTCTCCTTCATTCTCTCCTTCATTCTCTCCTTCATTCTCTCCTTCATTCTCTCCTTCATTCTCTCCTTCATTCTCTCCTTCATTTTCATTTCTTTGAGTGTCCCTTGATTCTTCTCTCATTTCAAATTTCTCGATTGTTTCTGTGCCAAAAGATTTGAACTAACTCTTTGGGACTTTTGGACTTTGGAAAACTTTTTGAGCCAAGTGTCACTCTTTGACTCAAAGATATCATGAAAGGAGAGAGGTAGAGACCCCGATGATCTCTTCCGATCACTTTCACCTCAAGAGCACCTCAAGAGACAGACTCTTTATCTATCAGTGAGTTTGATAGTATCTAGCTAGATTTTTTGAGCGTTTTATTGAGCATTTTCTTGGCAATTTTCTTAGCAATTTTATTTTATATCTATTTTACAATGTTTTCTTCATGTTTTTACAATCTTTTCTTCACAAAAGAAAGCTTAAATTTAGAATGGGAAGATTCTGTGCACTGCATCCTTTGTGCACTGCACTGCATCCTCTGTGCACTGTACTGCATCCTCTGTTCACTGCACTGCATCCTCTGTTCACTGCACTGCATCCTCTGTGCACTGTACTGCATCCTCTGTTCACTGCACTGCCCTCTGTTCACTGCACTGCATCCTCTGTTCCCTGCACTGCATCCTCTGTTCACCGCAACTCAATCATTCAACTTCATAAGGACAGTATGCGAGCAATTGACATTTCTAGACGACTGAATGTTTCCAAAAAAGTTTCCAACCACTCTTGCAAGATTCGGAACCACTTCTGATCGTAGGGGACGAGGAAGAAATTGATCAACAAAATAATTATCAAGAGAGTGCGTGATCGAGTCCGTTTGAACCCTTCGTTGACCGCAAAAAATGAATGTTTTGAAGAGCTTTATGAGTCGAATCTTGAAGCTTGAAGCTTGAAGAAGCACTTAAAAGATTATCCAGTAAGGCTTACAATTAGACGAATGCTTTTTCTGTTTTCTACAACGACAACAACAACGACAATGACAACGACAACGACAATGACAATGACAACGACAATGACAACGACAATGACAACGACACTTTCGTCAAATATTGTCAACTTGATTCTATTCGAGTCTGAATCCATTTTGGAGTCCGATTCCAGGAGCTTTGTTCAGTGAATGATCAGAATCGATAACTAATCAGAATCGATAACTAATCAGAACCAGAATCACTTGCAAAATTGCTTTATGGCTTTCCAAGCTTTAAAGTTGATTGAAATTCTCAAATCAATCCTCAAATTCTAGGGAATCTAAAACCAATCTAGAGTCTTTTAAAATGCAAATCTTTTCCTTTAGAATCTTTTCCTTTAAAATCTTTCCTTTAAAATCTTTTCCTCATTCTCTTCATGATATCATCCCCTTTTCCAAGAAGATCCCTTGCAATGTTCTTTAAAGATGCTCACAAAAGAGCTCTTGATCGAAGCTCTTGATCGATGATGATCTCATGGATACTCTTTGATTTTCTTTCTCAGATTCTTTTTGATTCCTTTGATTCTTTTTGGTTCCTTTGATTCTCTTTGTTTCTCTGATCCTTTTTCTTCCTCTTCTCATTCTCCCATTCTCATTCTTTTCCTTCCTCTCCTCATTCTCCCATTCTCATTCTTTTTCTTCCTCTTCTCATTCTCCCATTCTCAAACAACAACTGTCCCTTTTGTTGCTGTGGAAATGATCGTGAAAAATATCCCAACGTCAATGTTCCCCTTGGGGTGGTTTGGGATTTATGAGGATTGAGTCTGTTCCTGTGAAACAGGCCAACGAAGTAAGGCTTTAGGAAATGGATCATTGGCAGAAGTCTTGATCAGTTTGGAATCTGAATTTGAACTAACTCTAAAGCTTTCATCTTGTGATTGCTTCTTTCCATTCCTTCTTTCCATTCCTTCTTTCCATTGCTTCTTTCTATTCCTTCTTTCTATTCCTTCTTTCCATTGCTTCTTTCCATTCCTTCTTTCCATAGCTTCCTTCCATTGCTTCTTTCCATTGCTTCTTTCCATTGCTTCTTTCCATTGCTTCTTTCCTGCTCCCCTTGCTCTTCCGCTCTTTGCTCTTTCTTGCTCTCGCTCTTTCTTTGTTTCTGCTCTCTTCCCCTTGCTTCTCTGCCCTTGCTCTTCCTTGCTTCTCATTGCTCTTTCCATTGCTTCTTTCCATTGCTTCTTTCTATTGCTTCTATTCTGTGTCCATTCTGCATACCAAACAGTAATCATTGCCTTTGTTATCACTTCTTTTCGCATTTCTCGATTTTCTATATTCTAATCATCCAATCATCCAATCATCCAATAATCCAATAATCTAATTTCCAATTTCCAACAATTCTTGAACTCCCAAGCTTTTCCAGTAAAAGTGATGAAATCTGATTGCATGTGACTTCTTTGACATTTGTGAGCGAAGTCTTTGAGTGAATGAAAGTAAACAATCTGGCATTGATTTGAGATTTTTAGGTTTTCTTTTAATTTTTAAATATTCTCTATTTTAAATATTCTCAATTGAGTATCTTTTTCAGATAAAGGATGAGTGAAAATCATAAAATGGGTTTCCTGGGCGCGGCTTCGTATGTGGTGGGGAATATTATCGGATCAGGGATATTTATCACACCAGCATCAATACTCAGGTGAGGATAAGATTCGCATTATATAAATAAATAGCTGGTTGGTTGGCTGGCTGGCTGGCTGGCTGGTTGGTTGGCTGGCTGGTTGGTTGGTTGGCTGGCTGGCTGGTTGGTTGGCTGGCTGGTTGGTTGGTTGGCTGGCTGGCTGGTTGGTTGGCTGGCTGGTTGGTTGGTTGGCTGGCTGGCTGGTTGGTTGGCTGGCTGGCTGGCTGGTTGGTTGGCTGGCTGGTTGGTTGGCTGGCTGGTTGGTTGGCTGGCTGGTTGGTTGGCTGGCTGGCTGGCTGGTTGGTTGGCTGGCTGGTTGGTTGGCTGGCTGGTTGGTTGGCTGGCTGGCTGGTTGGTTGGCTGGCTGGTTGGTTGGCTGGCTGGTTGGTTGGCTGGCTGGTTGGTTGGCTGGCTGGCTGGCTGGTTGGTTGGCTGGCTGGTTGGTTGGCTGGCTGGTTGGTTGGCTGGCGTTGGTTGGCTGGCTGGTTGGTTGGCTGGCTGGTTGGTTGGCTGGCTGGTTGGTTGGCTGGCTGGTTGGTTGGCTGGCTGGTTGGTTGGCTGGCTGGTTGGTTGGCTGCTGGTTGGTTGGCTGCTGGTTGGTTGGCTGGCTGGTTGGTTGGCTGGCTGGTTGGTTGGCTGGCTGGCTGGCTGGTTGGTTGGCTGGCTGGTTGGTTGGCTGGCTGGTTGGTTGGCTGGCTGGCTGGTTGGTTGGCTGGCTGGTTGGTTGGCTGGCTGGTTGGTTGGCTGGCTGGTTGGTTGGCTGGCGGTTGGTTGGCTGGCTGGCTGGCTGGTTGGTTGGCTGGCTGGTTGGTTGGCTGGCTGGTTGGTTGGCTGGCTGTTGGTTGGCTGGCTGGTTGGTTGGCTGGCTGGTTGGTTGGCTGGCTGGTTGGTTGGCTGCTGGTTGGTTGGCTGGCTGGTTGGTTGGCTGGCTGGTTGGTTGGCTGGCTGGCTGGCTGGTTGGTTGGCTGGCTTTGGTTGGCTGGCTGGTTGGTTGGCTGGCTGGCTGGTTGGTTGGCTGGCTGGTTGGTTGGCTGGCTGGTTGGTTGGCTGGCTGGTTGGTTGGCTGGCTGGTTGGTTGGCTGGCTGGCTGGCTGGTTGGTTGGCTGGCTGGTTGGTTGGCTGGCTGGTTGGTTGGCTGGCTGGTTGGTTGGCTGGCTGTTGGTTGGCTGGCTGGTTGGTTGGCTGGCTGGCTGGCTGGTTGGTTGGCTGGCTGGTTGTTGGCTGGCTGGTTGGTTGGCTGGCTGGTTGGTTGGCTGGCTGGTTGGTTGGCTGGCTGGTTGGTTGGCTGGCTGGTTGGTTGGCTGGCTGGTTGGTTGGCTGGCTGGTTGGTTGGCTGGCTGGCTGGTTGGTTGGCTGGCTGGTTGGTTGGCTGGCTGGTTGGTTGGCTGGCTGGCTGGTTGGTTGGCTGGCTGGTTGGTTGGCTGGCTGGTTGGTTGGCTGGCTGGGGTTGCTGGCTGGTTGGTTGGCTGGCTGGCTGGCTGGTTGGTTGGCTGGCTGGTTGGTTGGCTGGCTGGTTGGTTGGCTGGCTGGTTGGTTGGCTGGCTGGTTGGTTGGCTGGCTGGTTGGTTGGCTGGCTGGTTGGTTGGCTGGCTGGTTGGTTGGCTGGCTGGTTGGTTGGCTGGTGGTTGGTTGGCTGGCTGGCTGGTTGGTTGGCTGGCTGGTTGGTTGGCTGGCTGGCTGGTTGGTTGGCTGGCTGGTTGGTTGGCTGGCTGGTTGGTTGGCTGGCTGGTTGGTTGGCTGGCTGGTTGGTTGGCTGGCTGGCTGGCTGGTTGGTTGGCTGGCTGGTTGGTTGGCTGGCTGGTTGGTTGGCTGGCTGGTTGGTTGGCTGGCTGGTTGTTGGCTGTGGTTGGTTGGCTGGCTGGTTGGTTGGCTGGCTGGTTGGTTGGCGCTGGTTGGTTGGCTGGCTGGTTGGTTGGCTGGCTGGCTGGCTGGTTGGTTGGCTGGCTGGTTGGTTGGCTGGCTGGTTGGTTGGCTGGCTGGCTGGTTGGTTGGCTGGCTGGTTGGTTGGCTGGCTGGTTGGTTGGCTGGCTGGTTGGTTGGCTGGTGGTTGGTTGGCTGGCTGGCTGGCTGGTTGGTTGGCTGGCTGGTTGGTTGGCTGGCTGGTTGGTTGGCTGGCTGGTTGGTTGGCTGGCTGGTTGGTTGGCTGGCTGGTTGGTTGGCTGGCTGGCTGCTGGTTGGTTGGCTGGCTGGTTGGTTGGCTGGCTGTTGGTTGGCTGGCTGGTTGGTTGGCTGGCTGGTTGGTTGGCTGGCTGGTTGGTTGGCTGGCGGTTGGTTGGCTGGCTGGTTGGTTGGCTGGCTGGTTGGTTGGCTGGCTGGCTGGCGGTTGGTTGGCTGGCTGGTTGGTTGGCTGGCTGGTTGGTTGGCTGGCTGGCTGGTTGGTTGGCTGGCTGGTTGGTTGCTGGCTGGTTGGTTGGCTGGCTGGCTGGCTGGTTGGTTGGCTGGCTGGTTGGTTGGCTGGCTGGTTGGTTGGCTGGCTGGTTGGTTGGCTGGCTGGTTGGTTGGCTGGCTGGTTGGTTGGCTGGCTTTGGTTGGCTGGCTGGTTGGTTGGCTGGCTGGCTGGCTGGTTGGTTGGCTGGCTGTTGGTTGGCTGGCTGGTTGGTTGGCTGGCTGGCTGGTTGGTTGGCTGGCTGGTTGGTTGGCTGGCTGGTTAGTTGGCTGGCTGGTTGGTTGGCTGGCTGGCTGGCTGGCTGGCTGGCTGGTTGGTTGGCTGGCTGGTTGGTTGGTTGGCTGGCTGGCTGGTTGGTTGGTTGGCTGGCTGGCTGGTTGGTTGGTTGGCTGGCTGGCTGGCTGGCTGGTTGGTTGGCTGGCTGGCTGGCTGGCTGGCTAGCTGGCTGGCTGGCTTCTTGAACTAGTACTGTGACAGGCTGGCTGACGAACTTCAGTTGTACTGTCTCAGCTGTACTTCAGCTGTACTGTATCAGTGTCTTGTCTCACTACAGTATTTTTCAGAGCAACCGAGAGTGTCGGCCTTTCACTCATCATTTGGATCGCCTGTGCAGCTATTGCTATCCTTGGTGAGTTGAATGTAAGCATCTATGCAAAACCTGCGTACAAGGGTTAATATTAGAATCCTATTTACGTGCGGTTTAAAGGGAATGGGGCAAAAGCGACGCAGCGCGCTTTCTAAAGCTTGGATACGCTACCGTACCCCGCACAAAAATCCCCCTTTCTTTTCATTTGCGCCGAGCCGAAAATACGCTAAAAACGCCCATTTCAACGCCGAAATTTTCGCACTACTCTCATAATTTTGCATGTTTTTTTATGCTTTTGCTCTTGTTTTGCTCGTTTTTTTTTTAGCGGTCGGTGCTGCGCGCTTTGCCTGTTGCGCTTTTGTGGTTTTCTTTTTGTTTCTCTTTTCTTCTTTTTTTTTCTGTGTCATGTTTGTCCGGCTTTTGCTTTTGCTCTTGTTTTTCCTCCTGTTTTATTTTTTATACATAAAGCAGGTCTAGAAGTAGCTATTAAGCAAAAAAAGCACAAAGCTTTGCCATAGTTTAGCACTTTTTCATCGAAATTATTAACTTTTTCAGTTTCTCTTAATCAAATCATTCTTTTTTTCCTTGATTTCATGATGAAATCAATGAAATTTGTCCGGCTTTTATGCTTTTGCTCTTGTTTTTCCTCCTGTTTTATTTTTTATACATAAAGCAGGTCTAGAAGTAGCTATTAAGCAAAAAAGCACAAAGATACAGAGATTTGCTATAGTTTAGCGCTTTTTGATGGAAATTACTAACTTTTCCGCACTCAAATCATTGTTTGTTATGCTTTTGTTCTTGTTTTTGCTTTATTGCTACTGTTTTATTTTTTATACATAAAGCAGGTCTAGAAGTAGCTATTACGCAAAAAAAGCACAAAGCTTTGCCATAGTTTAGCACTTTTTCATCGAAATTATTAACTTTTTCAGTTTCTCTTAATCAAATCATTCTTTTTTTTCCTTGATTTCATAATGGAATCAATGAAATTTGTCGGGTTTTTATGCCGATTCCTGCATACGTTTTCTTCCCCCTTCTTTAAAATCTATCCTCCTTTTTCTAGCTCGTTTTAAGGTTACCTATCTCCCCAAATTCCCTACTCTTTAGATTGTTCCGCCCGTGTTTCTTGTTTAAATTTCTGAAATTGTTTCGTTTCGTTTCACTCGGCTCCTTTCTACTCCATTGTTTTCGAATCTCTTTACGTGCCGTAGAAACTTAGCTTAGCCAACTCTCTTTTCACTAAAACGCATAAAATCTACCAAATCAAATCAGCAGGATCTTCTTAGGGTTCTTCTTGGGATTGTTCTTGGGTTTTTTATCAAATTATTTTTGAAAAAGGATTGATGAGTAAAAAGGTATTGGGTAGGGTTAAATGGTTACTAACTTTATTGTCTATTGTACTCTCTATTGTACTTTATTCAGTCTATTCTTCCAGGCTCCCTTGTCTACATCGAATTGGGCACATCGATTCGTGAGGCCGGCTGTGATTTCGCCTATATTTGCTATGTGAAATGGTATTCTATAGGTAAATTTTGCTAATAAGTGGCTAAATTTAATAAATATTTAGCTTTTTCCTTTATGTGGGTGTCCGTTTTGATGACCTACCCGTGTACGGTGGCGATTTGCGTCGAAACTTTTGGGCAATACATCGTTGAAGGGCTGAAACAGGTGAGATTGACTATCTAAATAACGAGAAGATACTCAGCTAATCGATGTGTTTATCCAGTTTACATTTTTTTTATTTTAGGCTTACGATATCGATCCGGAATGGGCTCCAATTTGCCAAAAATTGTTCGGCTTCAGTCTTCTTTTTCTTGTGAGTGGCAATGTCTGTTAAAAAATGACAATGTCTGTTAAAAATCTATGAACAACGATAAATCTAGCGATAATGAAAACAATCAGATAAAAGAAAACAAGAAAAAAAGGAGTGCAAAAAGAAAAAATTCAGTTATTGTTAATTTATTGTTGTTCATAAATTGGAAATTGTTGTTTGTTTGTTTTTTATTTTATTTGGGATGTAATTTAAAAAAGCGCCGAATAGAAAACGTTCAAAACAGCGCCGTCAAATTTCTAACAATCCAAAAAACCAAGCCGGATCAAGTCTTATATCAAAAAATTCCTTGCGTTCTTGGCTACATGATGGGTGGAACAGTTTTTAAAAAAAGCTAATATTCATAGATAAAATTAGCGTTCAAAATGGGCCTCTAAATGGGCCTCTGGGCCTGTCGAGTGATACTTAGTTGGTTAACTGAATATCTTTAGAGGCCCATTTTGAGCGCTCTTTTTATCTATGAATATTAACTTTTTTAAAAAACTGTTCCACCCATCATGTAGCCAAGAACGCAAGGAATTTTTTGATATAAGACTTGATCCGGCTTGGTTTTTTGGATTGTTAGAAATTTGATGACGCTTTATTATTAACGCTGTTTTGAACGTTTTCTATCATGACGCTGTTTTAACTAAATCCCTTTAACAAAAATTTGAATGGAGAGTAGAATCGCGTTCGGAAAAAGATGGGAATCTTTAGAATCTTTAGAATCTGTAGAAAGTTTTTCGTTTAGGTCACTTGGATGAATTTCTTCTCGCTGAGCAAATTTGCGGCCAGGTTTTGAAAGCATAATTAAAATAGCTAAAATTGATTTTAGATTCCAAATCTTTGCCACTTTTGCCAAGCTCGCTAGTTGCTTGCTGATCATCGCAACAGGAATGTACTATTGGTTTTGGAAAGGTGAGAGTTTACCGAGATTATAATACTTTGATGACTTGTCTTTTTTTTTCCGTTAACGTAGCCAAGTTCAGGCTGGAATGAAAATCTACAGGATCCGATGAAAGGATCAAATTTTCGATTGGGCGATTTGATCATGGGATTCTATGGTGGACTTTGGGCGTATTCTGGATGGGATGTGTTGAATTATGGATCGGGAGAGATCAAGAACCCCAGGAAGTTCGTTTTTGAAGTTTTATTAAGTTTAGAAACTTGGCACCTAGCTAGGCCTAACCAGGCCTAGCTAGGTTTTTTTTCTTAGGCCTAACCAGGCCAACCTCAGCAGTGATAAACTTAGATCAAGCCTGGATCTGGGCCTTTGCAGAAGTAGAATAACTCTAATAAGCGCAACTTCTTCCAGAAACGTTCCAATGGCTCTTTTGGGTGGAATCGCTACAGTCACTTCAGTCTATGTCCTTATCAATATTGCCTATTTTGTGGTACTCGATGTGGAAACGGTGAAAAGCAGTAATGCCGTTGCTGCGGTGAGTTTTTCCAACCAATAACCTCAAATATCGATCTTTCAGCTTTTCGCCCAGGCCACTCTCGGTCCATTTGCTTACTCGATTCCTTTTTTGATCGGTGTACTACTCGTCGGATCGATCAATAGCAATTTGTTCTCGGGATCAAGGTAAGGAAAGTTTAAAAGGTTAAAGGGGTACTCCGGCCTAAAAGTTGCTAGCTCTAAAAGCCTAAAAGGCTAGCCTAAAGTTTTCTTTCAAGAATCGCGGTCATTTATATGTTATTCGATGCGTTGTAGTCTTCTCTGCAACTATTTCCTATATGAAAAACAAGGTTTCCAATCGAGTAAGGAAGAAAAACGCAATTTTTGCTTTTCGCTTCACCCCTAAAACGTGGATATTTGGGCGAAAAGTATATAAAAGTTTCTTCTAATTGCACTTTAGCACTTGCGTTCTTTGCCTTTGCATGTATTTTCTCAAATTTAACAGCAATTTTTTGTTTAAGCTTAGACTTAAGAAGACGTGAAAACAGGTGCCCAATTTAACACTGACTTTCCTTAGGCCGAAGTACGCCTTTAATAACAAGTCTAAAAGATATCTCGTAGAACAAGTGCTTCTTTTAGAGCGCTTTCTAAGAGGTGCTTCCTACAGAAGCTACCACAATTTAGCCCCTTTTTCTAGTTACCTTAATCCCAGAGTTTGACGCTGATATTTGAGCCTAGTGGATAGTGCGCCAGTCTACGAAACTATGCCATTTTTGCTCGCGATTTAATTCCGCTCCCAGCCAAACTGTTTTGCTTTTTTGCGAAGGTTTTGGAAAACATTTTTTGAGGTACCAAAAGTGTCTTAATACATGCTTTTAAAAAAACCCGTCTAAACTGGATCCTGAAGGGGATTTTTGTTCAACATATTGGATTCATTTTCCATTTGAAGATCTAACTTGCCCCAAGCGTTTGCAGAAAAGAACCTGTAAGAGGTCTTTAGAAGCCTTAAAACACTTAAATGCTTCAAAACAATTTTTTATGCTTCAGGAAGAAAAGGCAAAAGAGTTTGGCTGTGAGCGGAATTGAACCCGCGAGCAAAAATGGTATCGTTTTCGTAGACTAGCGCACTATCCCTAGGCTACCACAGGTTTTATTTCCTTCCCGCTTGGTGCCACCTTATAGGGGCAGTTTGCCGAAATTGGCCGAAACTTTGCACACGTTTTTCTCAAAAACTAGCCTCCACTAGGAAAAAATTAAAAAAAATACGTGTTTCTTAGAATTCGATGGCGGTGTTTTGTAGCTAGGTTCGGTTTCGAAGATCCTAGTTAGTTGTTGAGAATATGTTGGGGGAAAACTATACACTAAATGTTTTCAGATACATGTATGCGGCAGCTCGACAAGGCCAACTCCCGGCTTGTTTCAGCTGTGTGAATACGGAGACCGACAGTCCGAGAGTTGCCGTTTTTGCACAGGTAATTTATTGAAAGTTATTCAGTATTTCAGTAAGATATTCAAGTCAACGGAAACTTGTACAATTTCATCTTTTCAGTCAGCCCTTGCGATGGCGATCTGCTTTGTGGGAGATCTAGATGCATTACTCGGTTACGCGATGTTCGGCTTTTGGGCTCAGGTTTGAGGGAATGAAATTTCATCGAAACGTTTGCATTAAAAGCTATTCAAGTGTGGATTCCTGTATATTATAAACTTTATGTATATTTTTGTATATGTTGTGTCCGATTTAGATTTCCGTCCGATTTAGATTGAACTTATCGCGGACGTCCGATTTAGATTACAGTCTATATCGGACGTCCGATACAGATCGAACAATAATAAACGTGCTTAATATATGTTCTTAAGCATTTTTTTGCAATTTTCTGCGCTTTTCAAAGAACATATGTTAAGCACCTTTATTATTGTTCGATCTGTATCGGACGTCCGATATAGACTGTAATCAATAAAAGACCTTTGAAAAATGCAGAAAACTACAGAAAACGCTTAAGAACATATATTAAGCATGTTTATATTATTGTTCAATCCATATAAGATTTAGATTGAATCTAAATCGGACGTCCGATATAGACTGTAATCTAAATCGGACGTCCGCGATAAGTTCAATCTAAATCGGACGGAAATCTAAATCGGACACAACATATATAAACTTCAGCGAATCTTCACCCTTGCCGCTTTGTTAATGATTCGAAAGAAGAGGATTCCCGTTCATCCGGATGCCATTCGAATGCCGATTTCTATGTATGGTTTTTCAATTTCGCATAAAGCAAAAGATTGTCCGTGAATTTATGGATATTTCAGTTGGCATTGAACATTCTGAGACTCTCACTTTAACTCTTGAAATCTATATGCTAATGAAATTTTAGCCACGTTCTCTTCCTTGCCATCACGATAGCCCTCGTTGTGATACCGATCTTCCAGGTGCAGTGAAACTTTTGTCTTTTGTTTGTCATTCAAAAATACTCCCATTTAGGAGTTCACTGTGACAGCTCTTGGCCTTGGGATTTGCGGTTTCGGATTCGTTCTCTATCATTTGTTTTTGACAAGAAAGATGATGCCGAGATGCTTTATGGAATGGAATGGTTTGTGGAAACAATCTTTTTAACTTGGACCGCTTTCAGAAAAGACAACTCGATGGGCTTGTATTGTTTTCGATTGCCTACCCGATCTAAAAGCTGGCACAACTCTTTTGGCTTCCGATTCTTCACAATTATTGTTGACGAGAATATCGTCGACGACAAGGTAAACAGAAAATCTCTCGAATTGCGATCAATTCAAATTTAGTCTAACGACGGTTAAGGTGTCTAGGTAGGGGTGATAGCTCTAACAATTTTGCTGAAAGGAAGAAGCTTTTGAAGATAATTTTGCTGATTAATTTTATTAAATGCTTGCTGGAGAAATAATAGGGAGAATGGCGAGTTTTGGGATAAAAAGACTACTGTAGTACAGTAGTTTGTAGATATTGTGCACTGTGCTTGCTCTATTAGGTTGTAAACTAAGTCTTGACCCTTTCTTAAATTGCTACCGTAAATATTTTTTTTGAATGAATTTTTTGAAAGTACGGGGCGCTTTGAAAAAAAAGGAAATACTAAAAAACTTTTGCGACTACGTGACTCTACGAGAGGGGTGGGGTATTATTACGGTATTTACGGTATTTAACCTAGCCTATTTATTATTCTAAAGAAAGATTAATAAAGTTAACTTATTTTGTGTGGAAAAAGGTCAAAAAAGGGGTAGTTCACATCGGCGCGAAAATGCGTTTTCTATCGGGTTTTTCTGGGAGTACCTTTTTTAGATGCGGAAAATTGTGCTGATTCCGAATCTGAAGGAATTTTTCAAATCCCTCTGACAAAAATTTTTTAAATTGAGTTTTAGCAGTTTTTTGGTCATTTTGTATGGGAAATTTTGTGGTACCCTGCAGTTTGGAGTTCGTAACTCGACAACGAGGGTCTAGAACCAAAAACGAAGGGATAATTTTTATTCTAAAGGCTCTTACGAACATTTTGATGCAAAAATCATAAAATTTGCTCAACTCTACAAAGAGTTATAACATTTTTTTAAAAAGAAATGAGAAAATTTAAAAAATTCTCGATTGCACAATTGTTTTGTGCAAAAGAACAATGTAGCTGTGTATCGTATTCACTCAAAACAATTATGGAAGTGTGTTTGTGTTTATAGTGTGTTCACTATAGTGTGTTCTTTTTTTGCTATAACTTGATCGCTAATCGCCGAATAACTTTATAATTTTGGCATTAAGCTTGTAGGTTTTTGAGAATAATTCGTTTAAAATTTCATTCAAATATATTTCATTCTACGCTGAGATATTAGCAATTTAAGTCAAGACTTTAGGATTATTAAAGAAGACAAGAATTGAGAGCAAAACTTAGTTTAAAACCTGATAATATGTAGTTGTTTTGGTAGCTTGAAAACATGCCAAAACTCACCATTCTCCTATTTCATTAACATTTCACCCTTCAAATCTTCAAAATATCTATCAAATTCAGATTATCCGATGACAGTGTCCCGGATCTGCACTCAGATGAGAAAAATACGATGAGACGAATCGGATCATCACAAGGATTAAGGATGATGTCAGCGTTACGGTAACACCACTAAGAAATGTGGGAAGTGCAGTGATACTGTCTCTTTTTATCTAAAGAATTTTACCCTTTTTTGCACACAAATATAGGTTAAACTACTAACTGTCCTGATAAGAAGTTACTGTAAGTTTGGTATGTAAAGTACTAATTGGAAAAGTTACCCTACTTAGGTTTTGAGGAAGGTTTCATTGAGAGAAGTTAGGCTACCGTGGACTATGGACTACCGTAGTCTGCGAGTCCAAAAGACAACAATAGCCTGAGGGAAACGGGGTTCGTGAATAGGAGACAACGGTAGCCTGAGATCCAAGAGATTACGGTAACTTTTCAAAGTGTACGTTTTAAACAACGAACAAAAAAGCACCTTCACCATACTTTAACCTCACCATTTTCAAGTTTTATCCACCAATCCCTCTCAATCTATCAAATCTACGAAATCCTTGTATTCTTTTTAAAATAAAACTAAAATTTCAGCATTCCATCTACTCTCGTTGATCTAATAGTCCCATCGGAGACGTAAACGAATTCTCTTTAGAAATTTCCGTGCCTTCACCACTTTCTTTTTTCTCTCTCGCACTTTTCAAACTGGTGCAATTGCAAATACGTGTAACTTTGTTAAATGATCATTTTTCTCAAAATTCTAACTAAAGTTTCAGAAATGAAATTTTTGAGAAAAATGAGAGATTTACCTTTCTGACAACCTGATTCGTGGTGCCTACTTTGACAAAATCCCGGTGTTGTGCTTGTCGAGTCTTCTTTGGTGTTTCAGAGATCTATTGGTTGAATAAATGTTTGAATCTCGGATGATTACAGAAGAAAGTCTGCGGACAAATGTAATCAAATAAGAGTCTATCAAAACGTGACAGAAATTAGCGGATTAGCTCCAGCGAATCCGCTAATGAAATCTTTTGGTTCCAATATGGTTCCAATACGGTTCCAATTTTGATCTAATACGGTTCCTATTTTGATCTAAGACGGTTCCTATTTTGATCTAAGACGGTTCCAATACAGTTCCAATACGGCTCCTATTTTGATCTAATACGGTTTCAATACGGTTCCTATTTTGATCTAATACGGTTCCAATACGGTTCCTATTTTGATCTAAGACGGTTCCAATACGCTTCCTATTGGTTGAATAAATGTTTGAATCTCGGATGATTACAGAGGAAAGTCTGCGGACAAATATAATCAAATAAGAGTCTATCAAAACGTGACAGAAATTAACGGATTAGCTCCAGCGAATCGATGACAAGTACGAGTTTATTCTCGCGGTTTTGCGACAGTTTCTAAAGTTTTAGGATTTGAGATATCGCCTTGTGAATGAACTCGAAGAAATCGAAATTTTTGTAAATTTTCCTATTGTTCTTATCGTTTTACAGAACAATAGGAAAAATTTAGATTGTTAATTCATTTGAAAAATGAATTTGAGAATTTTTAAGAACATTAGAAACTAGAAATCTCTCAAAAACATTGTGTGCAGAAAAGTAGCTCTTTTCCGTGAAATCTTATTTGATGCTTTGATTTTGAATATCCCTGATTCTCTTGTCCTTCCTCTAAAGATCGTTTGTGTGATACAAAAGCGACGGAGCGCACTTTGTATTCTCGTTTGGCCTTAAGTAAAAAGAAAAAAAAGAGGAAAAAGATTTTGAAAAAAAGATAACTAAAGAAATATGAAAGCCTGGAGATTTTTTGGCATTTTTAATCATTGAATTTCTTATAAGGGAACCTTTCCAAGTTACCCGCGAGTTATAATATGAGGTGCCAAAAGAAAGGCCTGAAAATGTACGTTCAGAAACTGTTTTCAAAAGTCGCAAATCGACAAAACGCACAAAGTTATAGCCATTTGAATTTCGAAAAAATAAAGGCTTTTCTCGAATTTCTGGCACACTGATTTTTGGGAAAGGAAAGGCGGAAAGGCTTTCCTTTCCCAAAAGGAAAGGCGGAAAGGCTTTCCATCCCAAAAGCCAGCTCGTAGGCTAGTGGTTAGTGTGCCTGCGCTGGGAACTCTTTGAACTCTTGGTTCGGATCCACCAGCAGTCAGAGTGCTCACCACCAAGCAGCAGTGCTTTCTTTGTGTACAGGACTCGTTGAACCATTGGATGTTTACTTCTTTCAACCATTTAAAGGCGTAATGAAAAGAATTCACGATCACATTCGAGCCAGCCGCCCGCCGAGCCAGCAAACCGGATTTCAAGATCAGCAAGCGAGACAATATCATTAAAGTTCTTTCGGGTTCTTTAAAGTTCATTAAAGTTCGTGTGTGAGCAGCTTAAAGCTCCAGTATTTCTCAAGTTTCGTCAATTTTCCTTTTTCCGAGCAGGATACATCCCTCAAGATTCGCGAGATTTTTAGACTCCGACGAAGTATCTCTTTGACAGGAAAAATATGCGCGATTGTGAAGAAAACGGATGCAATAATATTAGTTTCATGCTCTGTGCACATTGCTCTTAAAGCTAGTGTTTTTGATTGCGCATTGAAAACAGTTTCTGCGCGTACTTCTGAACCTTTCGGGCCTTTCAGGCCTTTCTTTTGGCACCTACCTCATATTGTAACTCGCGGGTAACTTGGGAAGGTTCCCTTGTTAGCATTTTTTTGGCTTTAGGGGCTTTAAGGGCTTTAGGGGCTTTAGTTGCTTTAGGGGCTTTGGGGGCTTTAGTTGCTTTAAGGGCTTTAGTAGCTTTAGGGGCTTTAGGGGCTTTAATTGCTTTAGTTGCTTTAGGAGCTTTAGTTGCTTTAGGAGCTTTAGTAGCTTTAGTTGCTTTAGGAGCTTTAGTAGCTTTAGGGGCTTTAATTGCTTTAGTTGCTTTAGGAGCTTTAGTAGCTTTAAGGGCTTTAGTAGCTTTAAGGGCTTTAGGCTTTAAGGGCTTTAGGCTTTTGGCTCCTAGTAAAGTTTTCACGCAGAGACACAAGCAAAGAGCCAAATTCTCAAAAGCTATGAATATGGCTTTTTATCTTTAAGAATCAAACAAAAAGCTCTGAGCCTTTTTGGCTGAAATTGGGCAAAAGAAAAAACCCGTTTTTTTCCCCAAAGATAACCCCTTAGATTTTTTTTCATCTCCTTTCACATCAAATATGAAACGGGTTTCATTTTCGAAAGAAAATTTTCCCAAAGTCTCTTTTAATCAAAAAAAAAAAATTCTTTAACATCTCCCGAAAAATCTTGCGATTTTGAATAAAATCTTTGAAGAAAATGGGGTTTTTTTTGGATTTCTCTTTTTTCTGAAATCCTTTAGAGCTTTTTATTTGTTCTTTTGAGAAATGTTTGTTTGTTTTTTAATGTTTTTTAATGTTTTTCAATGTTTTTTAATGTTTTTTAATGTTTTTCAATGTTTCTACTATGCTTGAGGCTTTTTAAAGAACAAAATTCAGATGTTTTCGTTTTCTCTCTTGAATTTTCTGCTTTTCTTTCTCTTTTCATTGATTGAATGTGATGATTCGTCGATTTCTTTCGATTTCCCAGCGAATCCGAAATTTTTCCATCCAATGGCGCTAGATTTTATGTTTCCACGTGCAAAACGGATTGGGTTAGTCTAGATTTTAGTTATTTTAGTCTAGATTCTAAAGATATACAGTTAAAGTAACGATATTCAGTTATCAAAGGGATTTAGCTACAAAGGTATACATCCAGAGTGTCCCCTTGCCCTCTGCCTTTCTGAGTAAGCCTCTGCCCCTAAATCCCCCCTTGCCGGAAGAATTTTGTGTTTTTCTCGATGTACAATGAACCAATTGAGTTGTTTTTGGTTTCATTGGATAGAGGAGAGTTAGACGAATCGAATGAAACCAAAAACAACTCAATTGGTTCATTGTACGTTGAGAAAAACGTAAAATGCCCCTGGCAAGGGGGGCATTTGGGGGCAGAGGCTTACTCAGGATGGCAGAGGGCAGGGGGACACTCGGAATGTATACGTTTATAACTAAATCCCTTTGATAACTGAATATCTTTATAAATGAATATTATAGATTCCTAGTGTCCTCCCTGTGCTCATCTGAGTATCCATCCCTAAGTCCTCCCTTTGCTAGAGGCATCTTGTGTTTTTCTCGATGTACAATGAACCAATTGAGTTGTTTTTGGTTTCATTCGATTCGTCTAACGCTCCTCTATCCAATGAAACCAAAAACAACTCAATTGGTTCATTGTACATCGAGAAAAACGCAAAATTCTTCTGGCAAAGGGGGTATTTAGGCAGGGAGTACTCAGGTGAGCACAGGGAAGACACTAGGAATCTATAATATTCATTTATAAAGATATTCATCTAACAAAAAGCTATTCAGTGAATTCTCAACGAAAAACCTCCCTGAAACAGGCCTTGTTCACCTTAAAGCAAGCGATGAAGAAGTGGGAAAAGGTGAGTGAAAGATTTCTTTTGTTTTCTTTTGTTTTCTTTTGTTTATTTCGAATTTTAAAACTTTAACGGTACTTTTTGATTAAAATTTATTTAAAACTAAGTATTTTGAATGGAATTCTACAGTAATCTGCATTTATTTACGCAATTTTCCAGCTCCTCAAGCTTTCGACAGTGCGACGCTGGTTAAAACTGATGAGAGTCGACCGTTGAAAGTAAAAATCATTATAAATATTGCAAAAAAAATAGAATTTATTAGCAAAATCTATGCTAATTCTATTTAAAACCTTTAGATTTCAATCATTTTTCGATTTTAAAACTGTTTAGGACATTTCGGCTGAGCGAAAATCTGTGCAAAGCTTGCTCCCATCGAAATATCAATTGATGGAACTTGGAGAAGAGAAGATTATTGTAAACGATTTGATGATTTGACTAAGATTTGATTTGATTTGATTTGAAAGCTGAAGACTGAAAGCTGAAGACTGAAGACTGAAGACTGAAGACTGAAATCTGAAAACTTTAAAACCAATCAAATTCTAGATCCCTAAAGATTCACTGAAGAGTCGACTGAGGAAAGTGATGAAATTCGCCGAACAAGTAGGGGAACGAGGGTTTTGGGAGTAAAAATAAAATACTTTAGATCAACAACGTCAGATCTGAAGAGTCAGAAGATGATGGGCATTTGGTGGAAAAGGTTGGAAGATTTCTAAATCCTAAGCCTAAACCTAAGCTCCGAGGACTGGCTGAGATCCCAGAAATGGGCATCCAGAGTATCAAAGTTACCGTAGCCCAAACCCAAATAGAATTAGTACAAGGCGCTAGCTGCTAGCCTTCGCTCTAAGTCCTACGGTAGAGGGCTACGGTAGCTTTAATACTTGGATACTGTATATTTAAAGGGTACTGTAGCTACGGTAACCCTATCTACAGCATCCCTACGGCCTGTAGACCTATCTCTAGGCCCACAGGAGACTGTAGATACCGTAACCCTATCTACAGCATCCCTACAGCCTGTAGCCTATCGTTCTAGGTTTCTAGGGGTACTGTGGCTACTGTAACCCTATCTACAGTACCCCTACAGCCTGTAACCCTATCTCTAGGGCTTAGGGGTACTGTAGATATCGTAACCTTACCTACAGTACCCCTACGGCCTGTAGCCCTATCTCTAGGCCTATAGGAGACTGTAGATACCGTAACCCTATCTACGGTACCCCTACAGCCAGTCTCTAGAGCCTATAGGGGTACTATAGCTACCGTAGTCCTATCTACAGTACCCCTACGGCCTGTAGCTCTATCTCTAGGGCCTGTAGAGGACTGTAGACACCTTAAACCTATCGACAGTACCCCTACGGCCTGTACCTCTATCTCTAAAGCTTAGGAGTACTGTGACTATCGTAATCCTATATACAGCACCCTACAGCCTGTAACCCTATGGTTGATGGGAGTACTGTAAGTAGGAATTAGGGTAGATAGAGGCAGCCTGGGTACAGTTTATTCTAAGGATTACGGTAGTTAGGGACACTTTGGATACTGTATACCCTAGGGTTACAGTCGGGACTGTTGGTAACGGTTGCGGTCGAGTTAGTGAAGCCTAGGATGTACACTCGAATTCGAATACCGTATAGCACAGGGTACTGTAGGTACTATGGCGGAAACAAGTTGCAGATATCCTAAGACTACTGTATGGACTATGCATTTTACCTTTACAAATACCAAATTATTTTCAGGTCATCAGAAATGCTACCGTACAACAAGTACTATAGAATTCTTGATTAATCTTTAGATCGAAGGAAAACCCGAACCGAAACGCGTGAAACCCCGTCTCGTTTCATTCACTTCGACAAATCGAAGGCTTGGTAAGTTTTGAGAAAACTTTCCTTAGGATTTACACTCAATTATTGTATAAGGATACTGGAACACTGTAGATACTATGGCTTGGACACTGTTTATCCTAAGGATTACGGTAGTTAGGGACACTGTAGGCACCCTTGATTTACCCTAAGAATACTGTGTGTTCTATGTTTACTAGGTTAATCTGTAAAAATGAAGATAAGAACATTTCAGCCTCATTGAATAAACGAGGAAAAGATCGTGCTTTCAAGATTCGACCGAATGAAGATCAAGAGGATTTCCAGGTGAGTGATAAGATAATGACAATGACAATGACAATGACAAGACAATGACAATGACAATGACAACTTGTAACTCATCCAATGTTAGCTGGGTTTCTTTTGGCAAAATCAGATAGGATCGGGTTAGCCGTCTAGGGATCGTCCGTCTAGTCTGGTTGGTTGGATGGATCGTCTGTCTAGTCCGGTCGATTGGATGGATCGTCTGTCTGGTCCGGTCGGTTGGATGGACCGGATCGGTCTAGCTCAGTCGGTTGGATGGATCGGATCGGACTAGCTCAGTCCGGTCGATCGGATGGATCGGGCTAGGTCAATCGGTCGATTGGATGGGCCGGATCGGTCTAGCTCAGTCGGTTGGATGGATCGGATCGGGCTAGCTCAGTCCGGTCAATCGGATGGATCTGATCAGTCTAGCCTGGTCAGTTGGATGGATCTGATCAGTCTAGCCTGGTCGATCGGATGGATCATCCGTCTAGTCCAGTCGACCAGATGGATCGGATCGGTCCTCCTCCGATCCGATCCCACCCCACCCGATAAATCTCTATCCGATCCGATCCGATAACAATGTCTATTAGCTGGTATCCATGTTTGGCAATTTCGATTGTTATTGTCTAATTACCCATTTTTAGCAATTACCCATCTTTAGCAAATCAAAGCCAAACCGAAAAAGTGGATTCTCACGGAATCGAGAGAGAAATCATTTGAAAGGACGAAAAACCATGAAGATTTCGATCCGTGGATGAATTGAGGAGAAGTTCAAGGAAAAGAATGATCAAAATGACGGGTTGTAGATAAATTTTCGTGTAATGCATAAAGAATAAAAGTTTTTTTTTTGATAAACAAATATATGATAATAAAATGAATATTTATTCTTATGTTTTTCAAAATTTTTGATTTGATTCGAAAGCTTTCATTTAATTTCATTGTAAACCCGTGAAAGAATGAGATTTTAATTGGGAGAATGGTTGAAAAGAGAAGAAAAGAGAAAGAAAGAGAGAAAAAAGGAAGAAAAGAGAAGAAAAGAGAGAAAAGAGAAGAAAAAGAGAAGAAAAGAGAAAAAAAGGAAGAAAAGAGAAGAAAAGAGAAGAAAAGAGAAGAAAAGAGAAGAAAAGAGAAGAAAAGAGAAGAAAAGAGAACAAAAGAGAAGAAAAGAGAGAAAAAAGGAAGAAAAGAGAAGAAAAAGAGAAGAAAAAGAGAAGAAAAAGACAGAATATTCACAGAGAAATCACCCAGAATCACCCAAAAACATTAAAAATCAAAAATAATAAGATATAAAAGAAAAATTACACCAAAATACTAAGATTTTACAACAAAAATCAAAGATTGTGCAAAAATACAAAGATTGTATCACATTAAATACCAAGAAATGTTTTTGGAGCGATCAAAATTGAGGATTTACATGAAAGGGACGAGTTTTAAAGCTTAAGATCTTGAAAATCGACTAAGGAAGGTTGGATAAAGCCTTATAAAGTTAGAGAACTTACAGAGTGTCGCAAAAGTTTCCAGACTGGTTTTTAGTGTGTCAGAATTATTAGAGCGATAAAGTTTGCAGGCAAAGGCAAAGGCAACGTTTGCGAAACGCCAATGGCTGAAGACAAGACTGAAGCCCAGCTGTTTCCAAGCTACTGAGCCCAGGTCAAATGTAGGCAAGTCTACATTCTACATGACCCTCGAAAAGCTTCGATCTAAACCCGTTTGACTTCTCCATTTGGTCTATCGCCATTAAAAACTTCTAAGAGCTTCTAAGAACTTCTAAGAGCTTCTAAGCCCTTCCCAGCTCTTCTAAGCCCTTCCAAGCTCTTCTAAGCCTTTCCCAGCTCTTCTAAGCCCTTCCAAGCTCTTCTAAGCCCTTCCAAGCCCTTCCAAGCTCTTCTAAGCCCTTCCCATCTCTCCTAAGCCCTTCCAAGCTCTTCTAAGCCCTTCCAAGCCCTTCCCATCTCTCCTAAGCCCTTCCAAGCTCTTCTAAGCCCTTCCAAGCCCTTCCAAGCTCTTCTAAGCCCTTCCCATCTCTCCTAAGTCCTTCCCATCTCTCGTAAGCCCTTCCAAGCTCTTCGAAGCCCTTCCCAGCTCTCCTAAGCCCTTCCAAGCTCTTCTAAGCCCTTCCCAGCTCTCCTAAGCCCTTCCAAGCTCTTCTAAGCTCTTCTAAGAACATCTGAAGAAATGTATAGTAAAAATTTCGACCATTTATTCAATTTATTTATTGTTAAGGTCTCAATAAACTATTTTATTAAGAAAAAAACCTCTAAATAATCAATGCTAGCACTTTTACGTATTTTTAAATCAATCTGGGAACTTTTTCGACACATTTATAGAAAAAATAAAAGAAAAATAGATAATTCTAAATATATAAGCATTTTCTCAACCGTCTTTTACCCAATAAAGCTAAAAATTCTTTTAGAAAAGCTTAGAATATATTTAAAATAGAAAAGAAAAGGATTAGAATCAAGTGGCATTGCGGGGAGTCGAACCCAGATGCCGAGAGTAAGCCTGCGAACCGGAGACTGCTGCCAATTGAGCCATCTAGGACAAACGATTGTCGGAAGCTTTTTAGCTTTATAGCTTTTTAGCTAGTTTAACTCATAAGAATTCCTTATTCGTTGCCCGTCTCGAATCGATTAGATCGCTTCTTCTTCCATCGGATCCACACTGATCTTGATAGATGATTTCACTTTGTTTTCGTTTACTCGTGCAAATTGCTCTAGAAGAAAATCTTTTCTTTAACTTCTTATACTTTTAGAAACGCATCCCTTCCATTGTACTCGATTCTCGTAAAGGAAATTGAGAGTTGAGTGCGTTAGAAAGGGGATACGAGTGACAATGTACAATAGTACAATAGTAGAATGAATGTAACAAAGAATGTACAATAGTAGAATGACATTGTCAATGGCAGTACTTTGTACTTTGTGCTTGTACTTTGTCCTTGTACTTTGTGCTTTGTCCTTGTACTTTGTACTTGATACTTTTTGCTTTGTCCTTGTCCTTGTCCTTGTACTTTCTCCTTGTACTTTGTACTTTGTACTTTGTGCTTTGTCCCTGTACTCTGTGCTTTGTACTTTGTACTTTGTCCTTGTCCTTGTACTTTGTACTTTGCCCTTGTACTTTGTACTTTGTCCTTCCTACTTTGTCCACTTACAAACGTGCGCTTTCTGAAAGACTCTATGTCAATCGTTTTTCAAACTAGGACACCAGGAAGCCTGTGTTTACAGTGTACAAAGTACAGAGTACAAAGGATTAGCTCAATTTTTAGACAAACCTTTTAACAAGACATCGAAACTCTCGCATTCTCAAATAGCAAACGGGTTGAAGGATTGAATGAAGTGAAATAAACGTATAACAAACATATTTCACATAAACGAACACGTAGTGACTCGAGAGTCCGCTGAAAAGTTCTTGATTGATTGGAGCTTATTGGAGCTTATTGGAGCCTATTGGAGCTTATTGGAGCTTGATTAGAGCTTGTTTGGAGCTTGATTAGAGTTGTTTGGAGCTTGATTAGAGTTGTTTGGAGCTTGATTAGAGCTTGTTGTGGAGCTTGATTGGAGCTTATTGGAGCATGATTAGAACCTATTGGAGCTTGATTAGAGCTTATTGGAGCTTGTTTGGAGCTTGATTGGAGCTTATTGGAGCTTATTTGAAGCTTGATTGGAGCTTGATTGGAGCTTGATTGGATTAAGCTAAGGCTTTGTTAGTTGAGTGAGCTTTTGCGTTACTTTACGTACCATTTGCGGCCTAAAAAGCTGCATCTAGTGCACTTTCATAAGCATTTTCATAAGCAGCATCAAAATAAGCACTTTCATAAGCATTTTCACCGAAATAACCATTCGGTTACCCAATTTTTGAGTTATTTTATTGATTTTGAACAATCGATTCATTTCCTCAAGCTATCCGAAAGCTTTTGAAAGCGATTTAGTTCAGTTTTCTCAGCTCAAACCGATTGTTCTTCAGTTTTCTCAGCTCAAATCGTCTATCTACCGATTCATACTTTCATTCGTAACTCACGATGTCATATTGATCAACTGTAACAATTGAATCGAAGCATAAGCAGTGAGATAAACAGCATAAACGATGATCACCGTCCCAATCACTGCCACGTATTTGTGCCGCTTGACGAGACTCTTCTCAAGTACTCGACGATCACCTGAAATTGTGATGAAATTCGAAACTAAATTTAATTAGATAGTAATTAGATATTAATTAGATATTAATTAGAGATTAGATTCCTATTAGCCTGCGGTTTTAAACAAACTGACGCTAAAACGGCCCGACGTGCTTTCTAAAGCGTGCCCCGCTACCGTACCCCGCACAAAATCCCCATTTTGCCATTCTTTTCATTTTCCGGATTCATTCTCGCGCCGAATTATTTCGCTTTCCCGTCATAATTTTGCATGTTTTTATGCTTTTGTTCTTTTTTTTGCTTCTGTTTTATTTTTTTATACAAAAAGCAGTCCAGAAGTAGCTATTACGCAAAAAAAGCACAAAGTTTTGCCAGAGTTTAGCGCTTTTTGATGGAAATTACTAACTTTTTCAGTTTTTCTCACTTATATCATTGTTTGTTATGCTTTCGCTCTTGTTTTTGCTTCTATTTTATTTTTTATACAAAAAGCAGTCTAGAAGTAGCTATTACGCAAAAAAAGCATAAAGCTTTGCCATAGTTTAGCGCTTTTTGATGGAAATTATTAACTTTTTCAGTTTCTCTTAATCAAATCATTCTTTTTTCCTTCATTTCATGATGAAATCAATGAAATTTGTCCGGCTTTTATGCTTTTGCTCTTGTTTTTCCTCCTGTTTTATTTTTTATACATAAAGCAGGTCTAGAAGTAGCTATTAAGCAAAAACCACAAAGATACAAAGATTTGCCATAGTTTAGCGCTTTTTGGTGGAAATTACTAACTTTTTCACACTTATATCATTGTTTTTTTATGCTTTTGCTCTTGTTTTTGCTACTGTTTTATTTTTTATACATAAAGCAGGTCTAGAAGTAGCTATTACGCAAAAAAGCACAAGGATTTGCCATAGTTCAGCGCTTTTTGATGGAAATTATTAACTTTTTCAGTTTTTCTCAATCAAATCGTTGTTTTTTCCTTCATTTCATGATGGAATCAATGAAATTTGTCCGGCTTTTAGGCCGAGTCCTGCATACGTTTTCTTCCCCCTTCTTTAAAATCTGTCGTCCTTTTTCTAGCTCGTTTTAAGGTTACCTATCTCCCCACATTCCCTACTCTTTAGATTGTTCCGCCCGTGTTTCTTGTTTAAATTTCTGAAATTGTTTCGTTTCACTCGGCTCCTTTCTACTCCATTGTTTTGGATCAATGAATCAGGTCTTGTCCGATTCTCCTGATGCCATCATAGAGCTGAAGCATTTGGTGCCTCTTCCTGGATCTGACCATTATGTGATCGCGTTCGAAATTGAAGAACTGCAAATTTCGACTCCCCCACGGAAAGCTTGCGTGCATTTTGGATTTAATCCCATTTTGAATTTGAAATTCAATGAATTCAATACTCGGCCATGGTCAATTGGTTCAGTTACCCACGCCTTATTGTCAATTTGTCCGCGAGTTACTAGACCGAACGAGAGTTCTTCGAAATTGGAGAGTGCAAGCCGGTTCAATCATCTACTCCTCATAATCGCTGCATGAAACTTGATTAATTTGGCTGCCTTGTGTGCCCCAGATTTTGTTTAGTCCCCCAAAACACCAAGCTTCGTTCAATTACGCAGTATGCCAAATGGCTTGCGTTTCCCCAACCCACCATTCTGCATGTTCTCATTGAGGTACACAGCTTCGGCAGTGCTCTAAATAATCACGATAAAGATTTTATTCAGCTCAATTATTCACCGAAAAGTCAGCCTTGACAATCCTCGAGATCACCCTCAACAAGATGATGTATGACGTGGCGGTGATGGCCAAACAGATACCACAAAACACGATTACACCTAAAGATATTTGTGGGCTACGGTAGCTTGGATGCTTATACCAAAATGATATGCGTATTGAGCTGAACGAGAGGGTTCCACATGGAGAAGACACGGGAAAGTCTCGGTCTCGTTGAGGGAATCGTCTGAAAGAGAACTGAGGTTCATTTCTCCAAGCGGGTAGATCTATAGAATTGATCTAACTTGCAGTTGTCCAACCCGGCAAGGAATTTGCTTCTGACCTGGTTCTGGCCTAGCTGGCCTGTTTCTAACACAGGTCTAGTTTAGGCAGTTCTGCTCTAAACTGACTTGAACTGTCCCAACCTTGACATTATTAGATTTGCTGAATCTAGATTTGGCACTGGCCAGATTTGTTTGATTTCCGCTCTCCTTGGCTTGACACCAACGCCAGCCTGCCCGCCCCCCTCCGCTTACCGTTGACTTGGTCCCTCCCCCCCCCCCCCCCCTTGTGCTTTGGTCTCTACTTATTTGCCGCTCAGAACTCATGGAACGAATCTTTAATCGCTGACGATTTCCTTTGCCAACCTTGTGCCTCAAATTCGGCTTGACACTCGAGATCAATGAGAATCGATTGATGTGCCTGTGAGACAACAGCATTTGAAATCGTGAGCCCAAAGGAAGTGATCCAACTCACAACCAAGCAACAGATCACTCGATTTCTAGAAATCACATAATTCATGCTATACATTCCACACAAATCACAAGTTTTATCCAATACAAACCTTGTAACAATATTTGGATACTGCAGCGGATAACAAATGAAGAGATATTCATTGATTGTGATCATCGTCAAGTTGAGAATTGTGGCCAGATTGGAGAATCTGAAGTTTTGCTTAGAGAATCACTTGGGTGGTTGTGCGTTCTTCTGTCATCTCGTCGAAAAACTCAGCATCTGGCACTGGTTACTGGTTACTCGTTTCATTAGTTCAACCGCTATAAAACCGGTTCAGTTACCCGACTCTATCAGAGAGTGTGTTTGAAATCGGTTTTGTTACCCAAGTCTACCCAATACACTTGTTTAAGTGTAGCTAACTTGTCCAGAGCTGCTTGATTGCTTGATTAATTGTTTGCCAATTGCTTCAGAACCAAAACTGGTTCATTTACCCAACTTTCCCTTCACAAACCTCAACAGAAATGCACTCATCTGATCGATCTTCACAATCCACAATGTCCCTATCGCATCCATATCCGATTTGAGAAGTTTTAACGCAAATAGTATTGAGCAAATCCCTTTCAAACTATCAATAAGCACAAAATTGAAGATCATCACATAGAAAACGTGAGAGAAAACTTGAGATCGCTCTAAAAAAAAAAGTGAAAGATTCCACTTGGGTAATTGAAGCATTCTTTGGGTTTTTTCTTTGAGATTCTTTGAGATTTGAGGGGGCGTAAAGCCGGTTTAATCGCCCAAGTGTGCCAGAAATCCTAGAGCACTTGGGTAACTGAACCGAGCAACCCAGAGCTTTGTATAGCAGTGAGTCTGATTCAATTGCTCAAGTCATCCAAAAACTTACTTGATAACAAAGCAAAGAGAAAAGTGCCGTTCATTAGAATCGCAATTCCACCAAGTGACACATAGGAGACACCAAAGCCAAAAGCCGTATTCACCAGAGCAGACCAGCCTAGAAATGAGATGAATCAATGAATTTGAGCCTTAGAATTCTGCAACAAAAATCTAGAAGTTGCATGCCAGATAGGATAAGCCCAGGGTCTAGATCAACTCGCTAACTTTCTCGCTGTTCTGTCTGTCTGTCTGTTTGTCTGTTTGTCTGTCTGTTTGTCTGTCTGTCTGTCTCTTCTGTCTGTATGTTTGTCTGTCTGTCTGTTTATCTGTCTGTCTGTCTGTCTGTCTATTTGTCTGTCTGTTTGTCTGTCTGTCTGTCTGTCTGTCTGTCTCTTCTGTCTGTATGTTTGTTTGTCTGTCTGTCTGTTTGTCTCTTCTGTCTGTATGTTTGTCTGTCTGTCTGTTTATCTGTCTGTCGCGCATTTGTCCGCGTGTCTCGTCGTGTTTGTCGTCGTCGTCGTTGTCGCGTCGTCTTTGCGTTGTTTGTCGTCGTCGTTTATCTGTCTGTATGTTTGTCTGTCTATCTGTCCGTTTGTCTCTCTATCTGTCTATCTGTCTGTCTAGCTGTCTGTTTGTCTGTCTGTCTGTTCTGTCTAATTCAGCCACTTGTGAGCTAAGTCAGATCAGCTAGCCTAACTACAAGACTAGGACAGGATCTAGCCAAGCCAAGCCAAGCCAAGCCTCCGACCTTGTTCTGGTTCTAGAAAGTAAAATTAGGCCGGCTCAGAGTAAACTTAGTTCAGAAGATCGATCAGAACGAGTTTTAGGCTGATCCAGGTACTTTTGCTAGTCAGAATAATAGAAGTGAAAGAATTGGCAAAGGCAATTTCTCCAAGACAAGACCAGCGTTAGGCGAGAACCATGCTTTTGCAGTGCTTATCCAGTAAAGGTTCCCAAGTCCAATAAGGCCCAGGCTTTGATTCCTGTCTTGTTGGCCCCTACCCTCTTCCAAACCCACCACTCAAATCAATAGATAAATGTGCATTCATCGACCCATCTTGTCCATTCTGATTCATCGCCAGCCATGCTATTATTTCTTCTTCACTCGTCCCATTTCCGTCGATTTCCGAGCTCTCATACTCGTCCAAAGCGAAATCCACCGAGTCTCGCATCTAAAAAATATGCATAAATTGCATTAATGCATAAATTGATTGAATCAAGAAACAGAAATTGATTTTTGATTGTATGAGAAAGAAGAGAAGACGAAGAATTGGGTAAATGAACCAAGTTCTAAGAAAAGATTTGAGTATACTAGGAAACGAGGGTTTAACCGGAGCACAAAGCTTACTAAGGGAAAACGAGTTCACCAGAAACATTCTAGGACATTCCAAACGTTCCAGAAACATTCTAGGACATTCCAAACGTTCCAGAGAACATTCTAGGACATTCCAAACGTTCCAGAGAACATTCTAGGACATTCCAAACGTTCCAGAGAACATTCTAGGACATTGCAAACGTTCCAGAGAACATCAAACTCTTTCCTAGGCACCAGAAAGCCTGTGTTTACAGAGCACAAAGTACAAATTGATTAAATATTTGTTAGAATCGATATTGAACTCAAAAATGAGTAGATTTCATAAGAGGGAAAGAGGCTGAAGTGCAGAAAGAAGACCGCAAAAGGATGAGAGAAATAAGCTGTGAAGCCCATCAGATAATCTTCTTTTGGTATCCAAGGGGGTGAGGAAAAGAGCGATTTCTACATGGATGAAGAGATTTCTCGAGGAGAACAGCTAAAACACAATCGTGGGATGAGTTTAGACAAATAAAGCTCCAGCAGAAGGGGGGATAGTAAGAAAAAACCCATATGTATGGGAAAACGAAGCAGTAATCTAGCCGGCGGGGTTGTCTGTCTTAATCTCTAGATTAACTAGGGAACGGTTAGATTTCGCAAGTGTTTACAAGTTCGCAAGAAACAAAGCAGTAGGCAGTAGTGGAGGGCAATAATGGAGGGCAATAATGGAGGGCAATAGTGGAAGGCCGTAGTGGAGGGCAATAGTGGAAGGCACTAACGGAAAGCGCTAACGGAAGGCCCTAACGGAGGGCACTAACGGAGGGCAATAGTGGAAAGCAATGGGATACGTGCACTCGCTGTGCGTCGCACCATAGCCCCGTCTCGATGGCTTGCCATGGGGCGGAGATAGAGCGTATACGCAAGGACCCGAAAGATGGTGAACTATACGTGAGCAGGACGAAGTCGGAGGAAACTCCGGTGGAGGTCCGTAACGATTCTGACGTGCAAATCGATCGTCTGACTGGCATTAACGGAAGGCACTAACGAAGGGCACTAGTGGAGGCCGCTAACGTAGGAAACTAGTGGAGGGGACTAGTGGAAGGCAGTAGTGGAGGGCACTAACGGAGGGAACTAGTGGAAGGCACTAGTGGAGGGAACTAGTGGAGGGAACTAGTGGAGGGAACTAGTGGAAGGCACTAACGGAAGGCGCTAACGGAAGGCCCTAACGGAAGGCTAAACGGAAGGCTAAACGGAAGGCACTAGTGGAGGGCATTGTTATTATCATTATTATTATTAATAGCCAAGAAGAGAACAAGACTTTCTTGTAGTCAAACTGATCGACTTTTTCCCCCGCTTCATTTGCAATACTTTTTTCCACTAATCCTTTTCCAGAAACAGTTACGATTTCCTGGTCGAACATGGGATTATCAAAAAATGAACTGGGAATCAAATATTGTAAAAATTAGAAAAAATTAGAAATTGGGAGATTGAGAGATTGATGAAGATGAAAAATAAAAATTGAACACAGAAACAGAGAAAACATGTGGTATTTGAGGAGAGAAATCATCGGGAATTCTATATTTTGCAAGAGGTATAAAAACAAAGATTATTTAGAGGAAATGGGGAGTTGAGGTTGGGAAATTGATTGGATAAAAGGTTTGAATTAATCTCAGAGTTAGGCTAGGTTTGTTCTTAGTCAGAAAAAGAGCTTAGTTCTGGTAGATTGCTGGGATAATCAGCTCTGGTAGATTGCTAGGGCCTGTATCCATAACTGTTTAATAGATAAGGTAGAGACCATTAGAACCATTAGTTGAAACTGGCTAGATCAAAAAATTTTCAGCCGCCGGGACTCGAACCTGCGACCTTTCGCTTACCGCTCAACTGTGCTAACCATTGTACCAGACCGCAGCTGGTCTCCCTTGCCCCAGAGGGAGTTAACTTCCCTCCTCTCGTCTCTTGACACACAAGGAGGTTCCACACGTCTCTTTTACTTCGTCTGGAGTCTCTTTTACTCCCTCTGAAGTAAAAGAGATCAGGCGGATTGTGGTGTAATGGTTAGCACGATTGGCTGGCAAGGGAAAGGTTGCTGGTTCGAGTCCCGGCGGCGCACAAGTTTTTGCTCTGCCCTAGTTTCAACCAGAGTACAAGAGCTGCAAAAATGCACTCTTGGCAGCACTCCCAAAGAGTGTCCAGTCTATCTAACCAGCGACCGGTTCGAGTCCCGACGGCACACAAGTTTTTGCTCTGCCCTAGTTTCATTCGATAACAAGTTTAAGCTTAACTTTAAGCATTAAGCTTAACTTTAAGCATAAGCATAAAGCTGCTGAGCCTTTATAAAGCTTTAAGCTTAAATTTAGCTTTAAGCTAAATTTAGGCATCTCAGAAGTGAATGAATCTCTGGAGAATCGTTTATTTACGTAAAGAGACTTTTCTCAGAGTTGGAGAAATGAAAGTTCTTGAAATTTCAAATGAATAGCGAAGAATCTATATTTTTTTGTGTATTTGCACTAAATTCTCTACTTTTCTCTTGATATCAAAGAAGCAAAGAAGCAAAGAAAGCTGGAGAATTCATTGCATCATCAGCAGCAGCAGCACAAAGTAAACCTGCATCAGCATCAGCAGCACAAAGTAAACCTGCATCAGCAGCAGCACAAAGTAAACCAAAGTCGATCGATATTCTTTCTGATTTCAACATAATTAAACCGAATTCAATTTCACATTGAATACATAAATGACACCAAACAATGAAAAGGAAAAAGAGGAGAAAGCTGGCATAAAATTGGAATCATTTGAAGGGTTTAGAGAGTTTTTTTTTGGATGATGGACGGAAATTACAGAGATCAAAGAGGAAGAAAAAGAGGTCAAATGAAGGGAAAATTAGAAAAAAAGGGGGAAAAAAGAAATAGAAATGGAAAAAAGAAGAAACAAACAGAAAATGGAATAAAGGGGAAAAGAGAAAGTTGGGGGAGAAGAGCTCACTTTCTATAGGTTATAAATAGACTCATGGTTTTGCTTTGTTGTAATTCGGAAGGGCATACAAAAGCCGACAAACATACAAAAGCCGACAAACATACAAAAGCCGACAAACACTTAGCATAATTTAGTTTTTCTTTGTAATAAAAGCCGCTCTTTGTGAAATATTTGCTTAAATTTTCAAGCTTTTTATACAAAAAATGGCGCGGCAAAGATTTACTAGGGAATTTTGTTAAATTATCGTGGCTTTTGACTTGGGAAATAACCTATCTGATGCAGTTTTTCACGCTGATTCCGAATCTGCAATCAGTTTTTGTCAAACGATTCTCTATAGCCAGATATTTGGCATACAAGTTTTTGGGCGACGAGGGAGCGACGGACTTGTGAGAGCGACGTACTGTCGTCAGTCAACGGCCTCAATGGTGTAGTGGTTAGTGCGCGCGTCTGCCGGGCGAATGCCTTTTTGGATCCCGAGGCTTCGAGTCCTCTGTCTATATAAGGCAACCTTGCAATGTCTATATAAGTCAACCTTTCTTTTCCTCTTGCAAAATATTAGAAATGATTCCCAGTCGTTTCTGTTCGTCACGATTGAATTCATTGTTTTAGGTGCCAAATTTTCCTGCTAATCTCCCAATTCTTCAAGCACGATTCACTGACATGCTTCCCGTATATTATTGTGGTTTCGTTAACACCGCTTGGTTTCCCCACTAATAATAAACTGGCTTCACTACCTCAACTAGTTGAGCAAGCGGAGAATCAAGCTCTAATGTGTTTTTTTCTAGTCGAAACTTCCCTTAAGGCACTTAGCCATACAATTTTTTTGGTATTAAACAAAAAAATTTCCAATATTGATAAAAAAAGAGTTCAAGCTACGAGTCAGTCAAATTACGTTCTAGTGTACTTTGTAGACTGGTTTAGGATCCAAAAATGGTCAAGTGCACGGCTGCTATACCTGTTGTTTCTAAAAGAGGCCAGGTTGACTGATGCCTAAGCCTTGCAAGCCATAACTCGAAGGCTGTTAACCTTTCAAATGGCTTGGTTTAATCTGGCTTTTCCTATTAACAAGCAAATTAAGTCAAAAGCAAGCAAGCAAAATCTATCAAAACAACTCTTCAAAGCTTTTAAAGATTCAACCAGCAAAAGCAAACCAAGCCAAAGCAAAAGCAAACCAAGCAAAGCAAACCAAGCCAAAGCAAAGCGAGCGAAAGCAAATCAAAAGCAAACCAAGCAAAAGCAAAGCAAAAGCAAAAACAAACCAAGCAAAAGAAGAGCAAGCAAAAGCAAACCAAGCAAAAGCAAAGCAAGCAAAAGCAAAAGTAAACCAAGCCAAAGTAAACCAAGCCAAAGCAAAGCAAACCAAGCAAAAGCAAAAGCAAAGCAAGCAAAAGCTAAGCGAGCGAAAGCAAAAACAAACCAAGCAAAAGAAGAGCAAGCAAAAGCAAACCAAGCAAAAGAAGAGCAAGCAAAAGAAGAGCAAGCAAAAGCAAACCAAGCAAAAGCAAAAGTAAACCAAGCCAAAGTAAACCAAGCCAAAGTAAACCAAGCCAAAGTAAACCAAGCAAAAGCAAACCAAGCAAAAGCAAAAGCAAAGCAAGCAAAAGCTAAGCGAGCGAAAGCAAAAACAAACCAAGCAAAAGAAGAGCAAGCAAAAGCTAAGCGAGCGAAAGCAAAAGCAAACCAAGCAAAAGCAAAAGCAAAGCAAGCAAAAGCTAAGCGAGCGAAAGCAAAAACAAACCAAGTAAAAGCAAAAACAAACCAAGCCAAAGCAAATCAAGCAAAAGCAAAGCAAAATTTGTATTTAAAATAAATCAAAACCATCAAATTTGTCTTTAAAATAAATAAAAATGATTAAATTTACAATTATAAGTAAATAAATAGGCCTTTTGAATTTCGTCGGAGTTTCGTCGA